TACCAAGTTGTCACGCCCTGAATTTTTAATTACTCGTAAACATTACCAAGAGCCTGAAATTTAGGTTCATTTTTTTTTAAAACAAATATTTATTTTATTTTTTAGATTCATTTTCTTTACACCATATAGTATAATTATGATTGAAAATAAATGTCATTCAAAAATAATTATAAAAAAAATCAAGAAATGTCATTTATGCTGAAAAAAAATGTTTACAAAAATTCATCGCAAAAAGTATATAAAAATATTAAAATAAAAAGAATTGAAGAAAGGGTAATTTGGTCTTTAGGAAAAACACAATTAAAATCTTTTTAATTTATTATGATAGTGGAGTTAGTTGAGAGGATTTAATGCATAACAAAACCCTTTTCTGATTCAAAATATTTACAATTCGGTGGTGCTACATGTAACGCCCCTAAAATATAATACAAATAATCCATTCCATAAGATCTATGAACATAATAAAATGATATACTTCATTCATTAGAGTTTCTATTACAAAAAGATATTACATGCATTATATATTCATAAATATTCATCCTGAATCTACAACATATAATACAAGTTAATGATAATTAAAATAAATAGAGCCTTCAACCCTACGGACTTACATCTTTCCAAGATATCACTTGGTTACAACAAAAGAAAAAGTCCTAAGCTCTATACATGTAAAACCCTCAACTTAAATAAACATTTAAACGTAAATATAATAAAATAGAGCCTTCAACCCTTAGTCCTCCCAAGCTATGTCCTTAGGGTGAGCCAAAGCCCAGTAAAAATAAACTAGCACATTATATGAGATTTAACTAAGATATAAATGTCAAGTATATATTCACATTCAATATTTATGACAATACACATTCTCCACATAGGTAAACGATATTGATATCCGTATCTCAATTCTTTTCCTTCTATTCCTTTCAATTTAATTCATTTCCTTTAAATTCATAGACCAAGATTATAGCTCTTCGGATGACTCAACTGAGATTACAACTCAAGGGCTTTCAATCATCACAACAATCACATAGGCACTTCAAACTTGCCATTTTACTAAAATTTCGTCAGTAAGATCAGCACCCATGTATGCAATGATTTCGGGACTTTCACCCTAGACTCTCTGGCCAACTTAATTTCAATGGAGTTCATCCCCTATCTCCTCCCAAACATGGAGTACATCCCCTTTCTTCTCCCAAACAAGATACATATACAATCTATTTAAGACACCGTCATATTCAATGACAATCAATTTCACATATTCAATGTATCTAACATACCATCATATTCAATGACATAATTAGATGATTAGTTTCAATTCACCTAATTCTTATGCAGTTTCTACAACAATCATAGCTATCCTCCACTGATAGCCCAAAACAGATATTTTTAAACAGATATACAATCATTACAACAGATAATTTATCAAATTTTCATAGGTGAGTGGTTTAACAATTCCAACTACACTATTCATTTATACATCCACTCAATTTCATATTTCTCATACCAATTTCATTATTTGTACAAAATAATTATTTAACACAATTTAGGGCAAACTTTCCCCTTTTTCCAAATATCAACCCCAAGGCCAAATTTCACCATTTTAACTCAAGTAACCTCATATTCAATACCCCATATACATTTATGGAGCCCAATGTAGAAAACCCTTCTTTCAAATTTTAAACCCAAACCCTAGCTTCACCCAAATCCTTCCAAATTCCGACATTTATACAAAATGACAAATACCTAGGTTAAAAATTATATTAAAGTGTAGAATATCCCTACCTCAAAGAGAGAAGATGAGCCAAGCAAGAGAGAAACCCCGAAAGTGCCGGAATCCAACTCTAATTGGTTCAAAGAGAAGATCTTGAGAAGCTCCACCTTTTTATCAACGGAAGTAAGGTGAAGAGATCAAAGGATCTAGGCCAAAATGTAAAGAGGGAGTATTTTAGAGAGAGAGGGTCTCAACTTTAGGGTTTTGGCTGAAAATATATGAAAAAGTGATGTAAAAAGTGCTTTTCGCGATCTGATATACGCGCAGTCCGCTCAAGCGGAGGGTTTCATGCTCGAGCGTCAAACACAAAGATTTGTTCTGCTCGAGTGCAAGAAGAGGCCTGCTTGAGTGCATAATACACACCTTCAGAACTTTTGCAGACGACAGACTAACCGCTCGAGCACCAAAATAGCCGCTTGAGTGCACACCCGCTCGAGCGTATGAAACGCCGCTTGAGCGTAAAAAACATTCCTCTAGCACTTTTGCAGAAGTGCAGAGTACTGAGAGTTTGCAACCCCCGCTCGAGCATAAGAAATGCTGCTCGAGCAAAGGACCAAAATGTACATATCCCGCTCAAGCGCAAGAAAGGCTGCTCGAGCGTAAGATCAAAAATCTGGACAACACAAAGTTTGAAAACTAAGTAACGAACATGTTCCAAACACAACCACAACAACCCAAAGACTAATTTCAAAGGTATACAAGGGAAGAAAGAGATAGACAACAATATGAAAACATTAAACTCGAGCTCGGAACATCACAAAAGTCAGGTAAAAACCGGGATCGCTATACTATATACACTAATTAATATACTAACTAATGTATCAACATTAGTTATGACATTATTATTAACCCCACTCACTATACAAATTACAAATATCAAAAACCTCTTAAAATATGTCATATCATCAATTAATATACTAATTAACACATTAATTAGTGGATATATCAATATTTTTATTTTTTACCATTATAATTTATTAAAATTTTAATGTGTAATGGTTTCAAGATATGTTTCAATAGAATTGGGAAAAGAAAATTCGCTACCAGAGTATAAAACGATAAAGTAATTGGAAACATAAATTTTTCATACAAAATCATGGTATAGACTAGCGTTTGAGATTGACATTAGTTTTTAATTCGTGAGACTGGATTGGTGTTTATTTTAATTTGTTTTTGTTAATAGTTTGAAATTGATATTTAAATCTAGAGAATATTATTTGCAGCCCCATTCAAGATGAGACACAACTTTGACCTCTACTTGGAACTCTATAAAAGAATAGTTGCTTCTAATTATTTTTATTTAAGTGAAAAAAAAAATTCAAAATAGATATTTATGTACATATATATTTTACTTAATTTTGTTTTCTAAACAAAAAATATACACTGAAAAATGAAAAATGAAAAATGAAAAATGAAAAATGAAAAGTATACTTAACTTAGTCTATACCTAAGAATAAAGTTAAATATTAAATTTTGTGTTAATTATAAAATTATTATTAATTTTTAATTTTTGGTTTAGAAATGTTTATTTATATATAAATATAAATTTGTTAGATGAGCTTTGTAATACCACGGTATACAAAAACAAATTTTTAGGCACAAAATTAGGCTAGGCTCAGGCACAAAAGGACAAAAAAAAAAAATTAAAAAAGTTAAAAAATTAATTTTTAATTAACTTTTTAAATCACTCCTTTATGTCCAATCGGTTTGAGTTTTTTATTTTTATTTTTATAATTTTCATATCTAATTAATGTCTAAAATAGAAATTCCCACTTAAATTGTTTATTTTTGTCACAATGGTATTTTTTATTAAACATTGAATTTTTCGTACTTTCAAGTTTGGCATCTACTAAATAATATAAAATTTAAAAAGTCATTATCTTATTTAAATTACATCACATCTCTAACACATTACATTAAATTCAATCCAAACCCAACTCATATAAGTCAATAAATTAAAAAATACACTTTTTAAAATATCCCAAACCAGCCCTTAATGAGGATCTTTTTAGTCTAGGTGCCCTTAGAACACATTGAATAATAGCACTACAAAACCCATAAAAGAAGAAGAACAAGACGGAAAAAAAAAAACCAAAAACAAATAAACATATTTTTAAACTGGTACCTAACAAATATCTTTCACACAAAAAAAACTATTTTTTCTCCACCAATAAACAAGTAAATTCCAAAGTCCTAAGATTAATAATTATAGATTCCACCTGACCTATTTGGAGCTTAGTTTGGAATGCTTAGCCATAAAATTTAGAATCATATTCTTTACCAATCAAATTAATCCAATTAAAGAATGAATAATTTATTGAACTTATAACATTGTACCCTTCAAACAATAAAATTATAAATGATCACTTCTTAAACTCTTATTTTTTTAAATAGATTAGTATTATATTTTTTAGTCGATCTCATTTGATGGGATTTAAAACTTGGTTTAATTTGACTTGGTTTGATTTATTACCATTATATCTTTTATTATTAAATTGAAATATTTCCCATTAGAGGTTTGTTCTTTCATTTTATTCAACATAATTAGAATAATTACATTTTGTAATTATATTTTATTTATTATTTTATGAGTTAATATTGTATTACATGATATGATCCACATCTCAAGTCCATTTTTAATTATCACAAATTTGACATAATTACATTTGACTTCACTGCTGAAAAATGTACATTTAGCAGCGTTTAAAAAACGTCGCTATAAGTTTTAAAACGCCGCTATAGGTACAAAAAACGTCGCTATTTATTTTTACGACGTTTAGTACCAAACGTCGACAAATGATGTTCGCTATATATTACCATAGGCAGCGTTTTTAAAAACGCTGCCAAATGTCCTATCCCTAACAATATTGTGACATCAGCGAGCGACGTTTTTAAAACGCCGTCATAGATTTTTTTAATTTTAGAAATTCAAACCGCTAGTATGATTGTAACGTTTTTAGAAATGTTATCTTCTTTTCTTTTCTTTTTTTGTTGAAATTATGCTAATTTTATGTGATTGAACTAAAATAATGCCTGTAATAAAATTGAATAGCACTAATATGAAATAATAACTCCCATTCAAATAGCAAATGCAACATTAATTCACTTTTCCATTAAATTTAATATCCAATCACCATTACCTACAAAATAACATATCCAAAAATTGAATTCACAATTCTTAATCAAAAAATTACTACTTTGTTTACAAATCACAAAATAACATTTTAAAACCCCCCCCCCCCCCCCACCCCCCCCCCCAAGTCAGATCAGAGGAAAAAGAAAAAAAGAAGAAAAATAAAAATCCAAAGGTAAGCCCCATCCATCATTCACCGTCATTCTGAATCACTCTCCATGCTGCTTCCCATGGCCTTCAATCCTCTCGGTCTTTGCCAAACATAAAACATAATAATAATAAAAACAAAGCCACAAAACTAGCCCATACCAAGTATGAGTAACTAGCTCACAACCATAAACAAACATAGGACTATCTCATTTATCAGAATTTGAAGCATTAAAAATGTATCTGACGATTAGTTTCTAAAGCAGACTAAACATCTATCTTTGCATAAGAAGAATTTCAGCACAGGGAAAAAGAAAATAAATCCCACAAATTAGGAAACCCAACCCAACAAAGAAGGGGAAGGGGGTGATTACAACCACCACAATTACCACCTCCTCCACCACCACTACAACGGTTTCACCACTTCCCACCCACGGCAATTACTACCTCCTTCAATAAGAAAATAATGAAATTGTGACTACCATAGAGACAATGAGCGCCCAAGTGCCGATTTCTTATTTTAAAATTATATATCTCAATGCACATCCCAAACTTCTCATCATTAGAACCCAAATCTGATAATAAAAATATAAAGTTCCATAAAAAAAATAATAAATAAATAAAAAGATATTGAGTTATTATGAGATACAAAATTTAAGAAAAATCTAAGAAGATTAGGACTAACACAAAAAGTGAAAGCAGTCTATTCTAACTAATTTGTTGGTTTCAAATTCATAAAGCTACTAATTCATCAACTTCTATCCTATTCAGAGTCTTCAGAACTAATCACACTAACCAACATAGTTTCACATTCAACACAACTACCATACCTTTCCAAATTCCATAGCTATATATGCATAACATTATGTGAACATAGGAGTATATATTCATGTATATACCCAAGAGTATGGGTAGGGATTTACCTCTCAATCTTCATTCGTCTGCGAGAAAACCCAAACATTTTGAAGCTTCTTCCCCAGCTAAAACCTCTCAAATCCTACTCAAACAAACTTCATCACAACAACAACCCACCATTCACAAGAGTCAAAAGGCCTCAAACAACAAAGAAATGCAGCCACATTATCATCCAAAAAAAGAAGAAAAAGAAAAAAGAAAAAAAAGAAAAAAGAAAAAAAAGCCCTACAGTTAAGGTTTCTTTACACACACATTTTGCATTGAAATGTCAAATTAATGGAGGGAAAGAGTCAAAGAAAGTGAAAACCCATTGAAGAGGACTCTAAACCAAACCAAGCAAACCCATTAACAAAAAGATTGAAAAGGACCGAGTAGTGAGTAGCCTCTGCTACTGGCTATTGCTGCTGCAAATACATCAATTTCCATTAAATTCAACTCTTGTTATCAGTATGTTTTACACTTCCAACCAAATAATCCAATCAGAAAAGACAATAATTTTAAAAGAATACGAGATAAAGCCAAACTTATTTACAATCAAACATCAAAATTATCATTAATCTCAAAATTCTCAACTATAGCACTACATACCAATATGGTGAAGAATATATGTTGCCAACAACATTCTCTGTGTCTGAATCCAGAAACAATCACAGAACTGACTCCAAAATATTTTTTGTTTAGGATTAAGAAGAAATTGAAAAATCAACTAAAAATTCATGTTAGAAAACGAGCAATACCAAAGAATGCAATCATCAAATTCCAGATGCAAAACTCACCAGGGTGGTCAAAGTTGTATTCGTGAACTCTTGTAAGTTCCTCAGGGGTCAAATTGTGATAAAAGAATCCTGCCAGATCATCCACAGCAAGATATTTATTTGCAATGAAAAATAAATCACCTCATCAAAGAAATCAAAGAGAAGTGGTGATCAGCTATTGTAAATTTGGGAGGCAAATGTATGGAAATGTGGATGAAACTTCAATTCTATATGCTGATAAAAGACACATCCACACACACACAGGGGGGGAGAGAGAGATTGGAGAAGAGCATAGGTGAGCTGATGAAAAAATCACAAACACAAATTGAACCCTATTAAGTGGTGTTTATGTACTCAGGTGCAACTTGAAGTACACAGTTAACAAGTATGTCGTTCTTGTTTATCCTATTTAGCCATTAAAGGATAATGTGATGATAATGTGAGAGAACAAGTGAAGCTCAGTTGAATACATCAGTTCAGGGAACAAATAGTTGATGATTACCTAACAGCCCTACCAACCCCCCAACCGATGAAAAAAGAGGGAAAAAAGATGCTTGTGATAGAACTTAAAGGGGAATTACTTACAATCCAATGAATATGTAAATTGGGCATTGATGTAGATACAATGCTAGGAAGGCAGTCCCGATATGATCACAGCTAAATTCACACAAGCACATATCAACCTTTTCGTGAAAAATAAAATAAAATTCCAGGAAATTATACTGTATTCAGTTACTCAGAATCATCTACTCCAGGGACAGGTTTGAGCATTAGAGATTCATCAAGGGGATCCAATTAGTGCAAAGACCTAAGTCCATGAATATATACAGTTACTGTAATTATATTTTTAACTCCATACAACATTCTCAGCATATATGATAGAGACAAACCATAATAACCGACTTTGCAGATAAGCTGACATGAGAAGCTCACAATAACTGACTTTGCAGATAATCCATCCATGGATTTGTTTTTGTTCCAAAACTGAATATCTGTAAAGAACCAAAAATTAATTAACAAGCTATAATTCCCATAAAGATCATCATAGAAGATGCATAAATGATTGCCATTACCATTCTTAAATGCCAAGAAGTTGAATATGGAATGAAATACTGAGACAATCATTGTAATCACCAAAAGGTACAGATTCCCTTCCAAGAATACTCTCTAAAACAAAGAATAAATAAATCAGAATTGGAGTAAACATGTATACACATTTGTATGAACATGCATAATAGTTGCAGAACCAAAGCAAGACCAATAACAAAAAATCACAACCAAAACATACAAGGATCACATTTTAGAACATATTCTAAAGAAGTAGCTAGTTCTTAACTTCAAAAATGTGCATGTATGTATCATGCGGTATCTGTGTTTGTGTTCGTACTCATACCCGTACCTTTTCTTCTTAGATTGCAATTCAACATTGCCATTTTTTTCAATGCAAAAACAGGAAAATTTTATGTATCGTGTTGTATGTGTCCATACTCAAACCCATATCCATGCTTCTTAGATTTCAATTCAACCATACCACTTTTCCCAATACAGAAACAGGAAAATTTCAAGCACTAAGAAAGATTGTCGGTCAAAGTAGAAAGATAAAATATTTAGAATTAAAATAGAAAAACTTTTCCATCAGATAAAATAATGTGTCCGATTAGCAACTTTACAATGAAAAATAAGCCACGTGTGTACTATAGTGCATAGTTGATCCCATAAATAAACTTAATCGATATATCTCAAAGTTTCTGGAAAATCTCCTTTCAATTTGCAACATCATTTTATATGCACTGAATAAGTTCACTCTAACTATTAGAGAAATTGAAAGCCTGATTGGCAAATATTATGTATTTGCTTGATTTCCAAAACAAAAGTTAGAACTAAAATCCAGAAGTACATATTTCTTCAAAACTTCCGATTTACATCATGCCAGAGAGATTTCTTATGCTCAAAGAAAAAGTAATACCTTAAGTTCATCGGCCTCGCCTTCAAGCATACTCCCATAACTACGGTGAATCTGGAAGGATTGATCAATCTGCAGGAACAGCTGCCACTTGGTCATGCTTATTGGACCCACTTCGAGATTCAGCGTCAACTCAGTTACTGAATCATTTATTGGTATTAACTTATTTCTAAGTAACCAAAACTCATTGAAAAAAATGGTTGGATAGTAGTTCCCTGTTTGTAGAAAGATAAAATATTTAGAATTAAAATAGTAAAACTTTTCCATCAGATAAAATAATGTGTCCGCTTAGCAACTTTACAATGAAAAATAAGCCACGTGTGTACTATAGTGCATAGTTGATCCCATAAATAAACTTAATCGATATATCTCAAAGTTTCTGGAAAATCTCCTTTCAATTTGCAACATCATTTTATATGCACTGAATAAGTTCACTTCAACTATTAGAGAAATTGAAAAACTGATTGGCAAATATTATGTATTTGCTTGATTTCCAAAACAAAAGTTAGAACTAAAATCTAGAAGTACATATTGCCAGAGAGATTTCTTATGCTCAAAGAAAAAGTAATACCTTAAGTTCATCGGCCTCGCCTTCAAGCATACTCCCATAACTACGGTGAATCTGGAAGGATTAATCAATCTGCAGGAACAGCCGCCACTTGGTCATGCTTATTGGACTATTTTTAACTAGCTCATTTTAACTATTTTTTTCCAACAGTAATTATAATACTAGATAGAGCAAACATTGATGGGTTGTCATAACAAGAGTCTTGACAGAAATAATACAGTACATAATTGCAAAAAATCCCACCCCATCAAAAGTAAGAGCTAAAGTACTTGAAGGATAAAGAAGTACCAGGTTAAAGGAGATACCACTTCCATAGTGTCATTCCCAAGATCAATGTCGTAGAAGTAGGGCAACTATCAACATGAAAACACAATGCAGTGTTCAATAACAAAGAAGAGAACACTCAAAGACTGCAACTACTTTAAAAGAATTCCAGATATATAATTGACTCCCTAAATAAAGTACAAAAATGAAGAACCTATACAATGTAGGTGTTTTTATCCTCCATCACATTGAACTTTCTAAGAGCAGAACTGATGCATTTGTTATGACATTTCTCTGTGGTGGGCCAAAACTGATGAGTGGCCTGAAAAGAGATATTAAACCCCAAAAGAAAAAGTACATAAGATGACAAGAAAATATGAATCTCTCATTTGAAACTCTTGCCAATATGAATCTTAGCATACTTTAACTATCCAAGACATTGTCGGATCATCATTGTCAGCAGGTTAAAAATAAAGCAGATTTATTTATCAAAAAAAATAAAAAAAATAAAGCAGTTTTAAGTAAATCTTAAAGTATTTCTACTCTTCTAAGAATAATTTAGTTCCGGATAAATATTGTCTGCAGAACATTGGTCCTGTCTTAACTTTTGTACTAGTTGAATCTAAAATAAAGAAGGGAAAGGATGACTGAGAGATTAGAACCTTGGAATACCTAGTAGAGAGCTAACTCGTAAGATTGAACAGCCTCCTCAAATGTACAAAGGGAAGAGTCATCCCATACCAATGTTGCAGCTAAATTAGATATACCTTCAAGTTCATCTAACTCAATCTGTTGAAAAGTATTCTCATTTCAATATACATGTGCAGAGCAGCTCTCTGCTGAGGAACAAAAAAAATACACAACCCAACAGAATCTAAATCCCAATTCTTTGCTAAAATGAAATGGACATATACCAAAACATAGATGTAAACTACTTTTCAATGGATAATAATAGACATGGTATGGAAGAGAAGAAATGCAAGCACAGGATAGTAACAAGAATAAATGTGGAAAAGAATATAAGGTTACCTCAGGTATAAAAAGGTAAAATGAGCCTCTTGTGTGCTTCATGGAAGATGACTCTATATCAAAATCAACATCTATAAAACCATAAGCCCTTACAAGTGTTGAATCTAGTGAGAGATATATGTAAAAAAACGAAAGGGGGGTTCATCAACTCGTTAGTATAAAAGTTAAAATACCTACTGATGTATCCATAATATTATCAACAGTGCACCTTGTCAGAAAAGATCATCCAAAATTGGTGCTTACAGCATGCATGGGTGACAAGTCTTGCACTTGTTCAGAGGGACCATGGTTCTGAAATCTAAATCTTATGAAAAAACTTTGTTGAGTGCATTACTTTTGACCATTATTGAACCATACCAAGCATGAAAAAATTAAGTCCATGTTGTTTAAATGCGTATTATTCACTAGAAAGTGCTAAATATGGGCACATCAAATGTACCTGCACATCTACATAAGATCAGCCTAAGAGCTCATCTCACCTTAGTGATCAAGAAATGTGGAGAACAAATGAAAGAAACTGTATATTCGAAACTGCAATGAGCAGTCTTCATTTACATGTGGGATGCCTATCTCACGTCATTAAAATAAACTTCCCTTCCAATTTGCCCCTTCTATACAAACAGGAATCCCACCTAGAAAATAGTTACGTCTTTGATCAAACTACCCATCATACAGTGATAATCACTATTTATTTTGTTTAACAGCCCCCAAGAGTATTGGGTTGCCTCTGAGATCAAAAACAAAGCCTTAAACAGCAAGAAGGATAAAATAACCTTTTTATTGAACTTCACTCTATTGAGGCACAAGAAGAAGACCCTTTGAAAAGGACAGCAGTGCCAATACCAAAAAAAGCCGCGCACTCCACTCAAAGAAAGCGATCTAAATGTTGGGTTATCTTTCTCTTTGGAAAGAAAAAACTGAGGAAATACTCCTGATGACTCAGGTTGGCAGCAAAACCAATTCAAAGAACCTTTCTAGTCCAACAATTTCAGAGAACCTCTGGTGCCCAAATATCTATTTGTAGTCCGCAATTCCGCTTGAGCACCTTTGGTGCCATGTAATATGGGCTTCCAACAATTTGAGAGAACCTTTCACGTAAAAATGTTTGAACAAATTAGAGCTAAATAGCATAACTGCAAATACAAAAATAAAAATAATTGGCCTCTTTATCTTCTTTTTTTTACTTCGACTACCCTACAAAAAAAAAAAAAGATGCACGGTATGCATATAGAGAAGCTTAGATGAATATACATTCTTGGAGTCTTCACTGCTTGAAGTCTTGGCATATTAATGACCAGGCAGAACAAAACTTGTTTATATACAGGGTATGCATATTTAATGGGGTGTCTACACCTTCAAATTATTAGGATGATAAAGTCAGAAGTTTCCAACAACTTATTATGGATAAAAGATAAAAGAAACTCACTCAAATGGTTCAAAATATCTTCTATTTTTCTTCATGAATGAAGTCTTAAAAGGGCTATGATGCAGCATCACAAATTGCTACAAATTTCTCATCATCAAACAAATCTATTAGTTGAAGAGAGCTTGGACAAGCACTCTAATAAAAAATCAAACGGCTGAAATAATACAATTTAATAAACTATTAAGTGAAACCATTACTTTAGTGAATTCCAATCCGTTGTTTTAAGCAAACATAGCTAGTTTTTGGACTTGGCCGTACTCATTTGATACATAATTCAACATTTAATCCATATGAATATATAAAAAGTTACAGAATTTCTTATTGAGATTTTTGACAAAAAATTTTGTCAATCTATTCATATATATGTATGTTTTTATTTATTTTGTGTTCAATTTTAACATCAACAATACACATTATGATCTTCAATCGATCAATAGATCTTCGATCGAAACCTAGCATACTTGAATCGAATCAACAGATCATCAATCTTATCTAAGAATGATAAAGTAGATGAAACCTAGCATACTTGAATCGAATGATTCCGTCAGTAAGAAGATAGAGATAAGACTGATCAACACTTACTATGAAGAAAGAGCTGCGAACTCGAACACGAACACGAACTAGAGAAGAGGCTTGAATCGATCTACAAATACTTGAATCGATCTGCAAATATGAAGGGGTTCAGCTGCGGTTCTACAAATATGAAGGGTTGTCTTTGAAACGAAAGCGTTTGAAGCGAGAGAAAGTGAAATCAAGGGTTTAGAGAGAAAGAGAGAGCAAGACTGAGAGTGAATATTACTTGAATCGATCTGCAAATACAAAGGGGTTCAGCTGCGGTTCTACAACAATGAAGCGAGAGAGAGTGAAATCAAGGGTTTAGCGAGAGAGGGAGACTGAGAGTGAATACGCTATTTATGTTCTCATATATTTTTTAAAAAAAACATTCGAACGATTTCTGAAATTAAAAACGGTGTCGTATTACTCACAAGAAATGCAACGTTTATAAAAACGTCGTTAAATATTAAAAACAGAGGCATTTTTTTAAACATTGTTAAATAAACGCCATTAAATCCCACTTTTCTTGTCTAAAGTCCCGTAAGCTGGCGCTCGATGTTGTCAACTAAATCTCCTCTTTTTCCTCCTAGTATAATGCTTGTGGAATGACTTGCATTGGCAATAATTATCTTATAAAGCAAACTATGTTTTATTTTTCTTCTGCTGCAATGAATCGGTTCAACTTGTCCACGTTGATGTGGGTGACCGGAAGGGTCAAATTTTCAGTTGACATAGAAATAAGTGACTCGTATAAATGTACGTTATTCTTTTTGAATCCTGATCTGGTTAGTATTGTTGTTGAATGGAAAATTTTCTGGATGGTATCCACTGTCTTTGTACTGTTAGATCCTTTTTTCTTTTTCTGAGATTGTGATTGGTGGTGAGACAACAAATTGCTAAACTCTGCTACATATATCATGCTATAAGGTGTGGGTTCAAGTCTTTATGTTGTGTTGCATCTTGTGTTTGTGAAGAGATTTATGGAGGCAAAATTTTTCCATTCTTTTGTCTATGACAGAGAATTTCGTTAGTGAGCTGCATGTTGTCTTGGATGAAAGTGAAGACTATTTTAGATTATGTTTGGATCTTATTATTGAGGAATTTGTGTAGAAAAAAGAAAGTGAAAGTAAAAATAAGTAAAAATTAATTTTTATTTTAATTTTGTCCTCGCTTTTTCTTTCATTTTTGTAAATTCCTACAAAATTCAAGATCCAATTATATAGTCGTTACAGTTGAAACTTGGAAATAAGATTTGTTACAAGTTTATGCCCTACAGATAATTGTCTAAAACAAACAGTATTACCAATGAAAAATTTATAATAGTGATTACAATAATTAATAGTGATAATAATAATTTAGGTAAATTTTGCCCAATAGATAGGTTGTCTTTGTCCTTGCCAGTGCAATTTAGTTGTATAGTCAAACGCTTTCTCATTATACCAAAGCTCTCTCATTATACCAAAAGCTATAGCTGGTAGTTAGGGTGCAATTTTATTTCCTTAAAAGGGTATAGTACCAGTGCCACAACCAAATGTGACTCAGTCTAGGATCCCAAATTGGGTCTCTGCCACAACATGATGTTGACCCAAGCACAACGCCTACAATTTTATTTTCTTGAAAGGTACAACACTAACACCAGTGCCCTCAGCACCTGCCTGCAAACAATCCATGCTTCCAGAAGACGTGAACCTATTACTTGCTATGATAGTAATTGTAGGATCAAGAGCTTTTGATATAATGGGAAAGCGCTTCTTCCTACAAGTTATGCTTGCTTCCCCTTGTGGGATGGAGAGAAGCATTACTGAAGCCTCTGGTGTTATCAATTAACATCATTAAAATTTGGGTGATTTGTGGTGGAAAAAAGATAATTGCTCCACCAACTGATAAATGAACCATTTTATTTGGGACCTGCCAAAAAACATCATACATATATATCATACACATGTACTAATCGAAGGGGTACTGAAACCCCACTAGTGAGCTGGCCGTGCAAGTGCCCGACCACTGGACAAGAGTCCTGGGGTCATCAACTCGATCAATGTAATCAATTGCTCACCTCTTCAGCGGATGGGCGTGATTGATTACGCTATTCATTTAGCGCCACATTTTAAAAAAGACACATGTCACATGCACAAACGTAATAATAGTCCTATAAAAGACAATTTGGACTAACAAGAACTTTCATGGTGGTAGATCCCACCTAATTATAGGATCCAAATTTCCAATCCTGTAGAGGCATTGAAGCAACAAAGATTGTATCATGAATAATATAAATTCATGATAAAAACTAACCAGCAAATATACCAACAACTTGAATTATTAAGCATTCATGTGTGTAAGACACAACAAGCTGAGTTCATGCTATAGCATAGCAAAAAGAGTTCAGAAACAAGAAAATTTCAACAAAGTTTGATCTACTAGTTTTAAGACTTTTAAAAGAAAAGTTTCCCTCAAAAGAAAAGAACAAAACAAGCAAGCACACAAATAAGTATAGAGATCTCTCCCTGCTTCAATCAGAACCTGATATGCCATCCTGAAGAAGATTTTTGTCTTGGCTCTGAGGAGGAAAGTACAAAAAGACAGACCTATATTCAACCCTAGGCTCTTTTTCACAACGCTTACCGTCCATGTAATATATGGAGCTACTGTTCCCCCTCCCCCACTGGGATGGGTTACTTATTATAGCACTTTGGTTTTTGTGCATGAACAACGCCGCGTTTCCCAGTCTCTCCACCCTCACCCATTCCATATTTGTCAAGTCCAGCTTGTAAGTCAGAGGGTTTGAATGCATTTTATCAAGCATTAACAACTCCTCATTTAAAATCACTAACTGCAAATACAGAGTGCTCAAACTAGGGGTGCCCTTGACATCCAGCAACATCAAGGTGGGATTAGGCCACAATTTAAAAATTCCAATTCCAGCACAATCGGTTAAAACATAAATTTTACCATTAAAAACAGCTAGACCCATGATTAACCATGGTTTGTCAGCAAAAGAGTAGACAATCCAATCCTCACCTCCACCTTGACAAAAATATCAGGCTTCTGAACAAACACCAGCACAAATTCTGAAAGCATGGTTGAGTAAGCAAGGATGGTGCGAAATTCAGGTAAGAAGAAATGTTTGAAGTATTCAGGTAGAATAGGGAAATGGAGTTCCTCTCTTGTAATAAGATTTATGGCATCCAGTTTCAATTTTTTATCTTGCAGTATGACGTATCCACACGAGAATCCCTAACAAGTCCTACCCACCAGATTAGGCAGCATTGTCTTGTACTTCGTTTTATCAAATATGTTGTACAAGGAAAAGGCTTGCTTAGCATATACAACTACGAGGAAAATCAGAGGAGGTTGAGACGCCAAGAAATTTTCCTTGTGAGCAACAGAAACAGAACTCCATGACTTGCAGACACCACCAAATGAGAGGTTGTCTATGAAATTCAGCCATTTTGAGATCATACCAAGCATATCACCAAGGAGATTTGCCCACGATCTGGCATCAGTGTTGGTTCTGTGGTTCAATCTTCTACGCTTACATGTAGTGAACCTTCCTTTTCTCTTTCCTTTCCTCACCATGACTCCTTTCAGCACAAGCAAACATGAATTCATATCAATTCTAAACAAAAGAGGCAAATAATACAAAATTTCCAACAAATAACACTCTTTATCATGGGCTTGAGAAATTAATAATCTAGCCTTGACCTTTTGGGATGAATTCATGTGACAAAGTAATTTAGCATCAGGTAAGCCTTAAATCTGGATTAATTATGAAATATTTCCATAACTATTAACAACCAACAAGGAAAGCTAGGGTTTCAATGTGAAAATAGGGATTTGGTATATTGAATGGTCCATGCATCGTAATAAATAAAACATAACTAGATGAGAACCTGATTGATGACAAGTAACTCTACGATTCAATGATACTAGACATTTCAAAAACTTCCTTCAGTAGTTTATCACTTTTAACAATATTCTTTCAAAATTGCTATGTACCCATAAAATATACTAAGAAAAAGTGCCAAGAATTTTAATGCTGTTATGTAAACTTAAACTTGGTGTGGTGCTGTAGGTCACACCCAAAATAAATATGCTCTACACATTTCAAACACAGGGCATTTTTCCACGTAGATGAGAGTTTCATTACAACATATATGTTCTTGTCAAGACTAGATCTGTGAAAATCAGAGAAACATTAAAAACCAATAAAACATTAAAAGCCAAAAGAAACCAATATTGAGTTACTTCAAACGATCAATCTATTAGTGCAAAGTAAGCTGGCTGAGGGTTAAACCAGCCAACATAAAAACATGGCCCAATAGGAGTTGGATCTCATCCCCATACATGGGATAAAGGTCATCCATTGATGTCCTTTGGTCTGGCTCAAATCCTATGGATCGTTAAATGAATCAATGTCTCGTCATAAGATATGAGGGTTGCAATCAGGAAAGTTAAAGCCATGACCAAGTAGGCAAGGACTTAAAAAGGTTAGGTAACTTGGAAAGGCATGAGAGACAAGCCTTGAAGCATTAAACCAAACCAAACCAAACCAAGCCTTAAGTCCCATCAAATGGGGTCGGTTACATGAATCCTTCTTCTCTATGCAGCCCTATCCAAGGCTATTTCGTTAGTCAAATTAAGTAGATTCATATCTCTATTTATAATGCTAACCAACGTTAATCTAGGCATACCCCGTCCCCTAACACTTCCATCTACTGTTACAGCATCGCATCTCTTCATTACTGCCTCTGTTGGTCTACATTGAATATGACCAAACCATCTCAATTGATTCTCTCTCAACTTATCTTCTATCGGTGCTACTCCTACCCATTCCTGAATACACTCATTCCTAATTATGTCCTGTCTAGTCTTGCCACACATCAATCTTAGCATTCTCATCTCAACCACACTCATCTTATCTACATGTTGTTTCTTGGTTGCCCAACACTCTGTCCTATACAATATCGCTGGTCTAATAGTTGTTCTATAGAACTTACCTTTAAGTGTAGTAGATATTCGTTTATCGCACAGTACCCCAGACGCACTTCTCCATTTACACCATCTCGCCTTAATCCTATGGGCCAAATCCGCATCAATCTCCTCCACTATTGTAATAATCGACCCTAAATAATGAAAGTGTTCACTTTTAGACAGTTCTTGGTTCTCAACCTTCACTTCTCCTCTGCTTTCATTGTTACTGTTACTAAATTTACGCTCCACGTATTATGTCTTGGTTCTACTTATCCGGAATCCTTTAGATTCAAGGGCTTTTCTCCAAGTCTCCAACTTTGTATTAACCCTTTTGTCTAGTCTCATCCACTAGCACTATATCGTCTGCAAAAAG